CTTTTATCGTCTTCCTTCTCGAAACCCATAACCCCAGTCTCATTATTTGAAAAACATTAAAAAAAAATCCCAGTGAGGAATATTCTACAAAATACCTGATCAGTAGTCTTCAAAACTGTCAAGATCATCAAAAGTAAGGAATGTATGATAAATTGTTACTGCCAAGAGGAGCCTAAGGAGGCATAAACATAATGTGGATGAGGATCTTGGAACAGAAGAAGGACATTAAGTTAAAATGAAAGACATCTGAACATATGCACTTTAATAATAATTCATCAATATTAGTTTTTTAATTGTAAAATATGTATGACATTGATGTAAGCTGTTAATAATAGGGAAACTGGGTGTGTTGTATATGGAAACTCTCTGTAGTATCTTGGTATTTTTTCTATAAATCTAAAACTGTTCTAAAAAAGTTTTTAAAAAATTTGTGAACATTTTCCCACTGTATTCTTCTGTTGCATCATTTTAAGTGGGAAGCCCGATGATTTTTAAGTAGAAGGATGACATGATATGATTTGTGATTTTAAAATGATCATCTGAAAGATGTACAAGTACAATTCCTTACCATGATCTGCAAGGACTGGCATGGTCTGGCCTCTGTAAATCTCTCCAATTTCATTTCCTGTCTCTTTCTTGCCATGCTTCAGTTACGCTGGTCTACTTTCAGTTTTGTTTTTTTTTTTCTTCCTGTATGCCAGTCTCTTTCCTGCCTTAGGGCTTTCACACATGTTATTCTCTTTGTTTTTAAAGTTCTCCTCCATCTCCTCTCCCCATGGCAGTTCCTATGACTGTTTGTTTAGTTGTCTTCTCCACTATTCTTAAGTCCAAAGTGGGCAGGACTACCTCTTTTTCATTTACTTATGTATAGCCAGTACCTAGCATAATGCCTCACTCAAAGCAGTTCAGTATTTGTTGAATAAATAAATAGTAATTACTGTTTTCATTCACGCTTTAAACAATATTAGTGTGAAGTTCTATTTTAGCTGCTATGAGTACATACAAAGGGTTTATAATACATAATTCTTACCCTGAAATAGTTCCCAATTTAAAAGGAGTGATTGAATAATATTGTAGCATGGAGGAAGGCGCTATAGTTGGAGTGAAGTTCTGCCACTAGCCAACAACGTGACATCAGATAAATTATTTACCTTCTCTGTTCCTTTATTTATCTATCTGTAACGTTAAGGAGTTTGACTGGAGTTTCCTACGGCTTTGGTTCTCAAATCTGTGTACAATTAATGGTACATTGGTTCTTTTACTTCTTCCCAGGCTCCAGTCTGAGTCAGTAGGTCTGGGTGGGGTCCAGGAATTCCCCAGGTGATTGTGATGTACCACTAGGTTTAGGAACTACTGATTTAGGTCTTTCTAGTTTAGGGGAAAGGCGGGGGCAGGGGAAGGGAAGTAATCTTATAATTCTATTGTAGTATGTAGCCGACTGTGAAAGTGCAAAAGTCAGGAGTCAGGCAAATTAAGGTGTTGTATTTGTTCAGAGGCAGGGAAAATATTTTTTTGCTTGGGTGATGTGGGGACTTAATGAGACAGCGATGTGGAAATGGACTTTGAAGAGAGGATGCAGATTTGGGCAGGTGCAGAAGTGATCACGACTGGTGTTCTGTCTAGCTTAGTTGGAGGCCAGAATATATGCAAAGAAGCAGGAGGGAAAAAATTACCCATTTTGATGCAACGGACCATACTTCTGATCTTGTTTTCCCCGTTTTAACTGTGATACTTGGTTGTCCTTTTGGAGATGAAAGATTATATTATTTTAGCTTGATCTTCATTAGGTAGAGGTAAAACGAGGTGATGGACACCATGAGGACACTTTGGGAAATAATTGGGCATATTCTTTCTCAAGCCTTTTAGGGCTGTGCCTTTTGAGATCCACTTTGACAACCCCATTGGTTTCCTGGTTAGACACAAAGAATATCAGGACCCACTATGCTATCTAAAATAATAATTTTGCTGTCAGAATGATTACTATTAAACCAAAGTTGGCTTTTTTATTTAGATGAAACCGTATAAAGGCAACATTCTGAGTAAATTATGTGGCATCCACATGATGAAATAATGAGCTTAAGTTTAGGGGATGAAAGTAACGATCTAATGCAATATTTAGAATAGGTATACAGTATGTAGTTATTAACCTAAAAGTCACATCCTGCATTCTTTTGATTTGTGGAAGATTTGTCATTAATTGCCAGGAAGCCTCTGATTTTTAATACATAATCATGTCATAGCTGTTGACTTTCTTCCCCTTCTCTTGCCTTAAAAATACGTCTTTGTAAATAGATTACTTTCAGATCTGTAATGCTCCTTTTAAACATTGGGTTGCTAAGTTTAGCCCTGTTGCTCTCTTTTTTAAAATAGAATTGCCCCCCAGCTTTGCCTCTGAGTCATCACTGACAAATCACACTTTGTTTTTTCATGGATGGCAACTGGCGTAAAATCTTATTTAACCTTCCTGCCCAGTGGGAGCCTGCTAGTTCTGAAATGCTTTTTGTTTTCATGAGCTACCGTTGTGTGGAGAAAATGGGTATGATCTTCCATTTGGAAAACAGTCTGTGAGATGAATTCTGACCCTTCATTCAGACTCACTCTAAATGGGGCTCTTTTTATTCAACGGTTGTCAAAGACAGCTTTTCAAGGCAGGGTCAGAAACACCAAAGTCAAAATTGAGAAGAAAGAATGAGGTAGTGGGCAAGAAATGAGGCAGCTAGGCTGACCTTTAGCCTAGCATCCAGCCCATGCCCACCCCTGGAAACCATTTCAGGTCAATCTAGGAGCTACACATTAACCTGTAACCATCCAGTCAGCCCACTACTTCCTGCAGCCCTTGCTGTTGTTGGCCTATTGACTATCACTTGACTTTGAAATTAGAAAAGTGGAAATACCAAGCCCCTTGTGACTTTTTGCTTGCAAAGAATTACCTTTATTAATGTGAATTATTGGCCTCCAGTAGCACCAGAGCTCCTTAGAGAGTGACTTTCACTAGACTTTTTGAAAGGGACAATTCCCCCCTCGCCAACATGGCTAGATCAAAGAAACACCTTTCTTAGAGTAAAACCTCAGGCTTGAGAAAATTTCCCCAGTTTCAGGAAGAGCCTTCATGGGAAAACAACTACTATTGCATCCCTGGTAGCTTTTTATCTGCTATATTGTTAAGAAGAAGAACAGAGTCAGAAGTATAGACCTTGGAAGCAAGTTTAAGACCATTTACTAATCTGCAAATTGTGTTCTGTGTTCACGTTTCCTAGGGTGGCATTGTAGACGTGCCTCTCCTTCAGCCAGACCGTGTGGGGTATTATCTTCTTATGTATTGTTCGTGCATTATTTGGTTTGATACAGGAGTTATGCTTTTTTTTTTTAAAAAGTCTGAAAACAATTGGTTTAGGTCAAATGCCCAAGATTTTATAGAGGAAGTGTCTGAAGGTCAATGTGGTTAAATTAAATACCTACAGTTGTACGACTAGAGGTTGACAGAAATTAGGAACCATGAATCTGGACTTCCCATCCAGTACATTTTTGCTACAAAATGTTGATTTGATTTTCCATTTTGAAAGACACAGAAGTGATCTGTGAAACGATGATTAGCCCCAGGCAGCCCCAGGCAGCCCTGGAATGCTCCATGGTTCAAATGCCCAAGACCAGATGGAGGTCCAGAAGTGGATGACTCAAAGTTTATTAGTTTTGCCACCTGGGCAGTATAGCCAAACCAGCTGCCGTAAGGCAGTTCCAATTTCAACAAAGCAGTAAATGAACATAAAAGTGAGTGTAAATCCCAAGAAAAAAGTAAAGGAGAATGGCTGCTGCTGCAAGGAGATTCATCCAGGCTGAGCCCCATTGATGGCCCTTGTAGGAGGCACACCTGCCATGCCAGGTAGAAGGCAAGGACAGGTTGCAGCACCAAGCCCTGAAAAGTCACCCCTTGAGTCGCTCCAGGAGCCAGTCTCCATTTGGGATGTTTGACTTGCTGGCTTGGTGGCTTGGATTCCTAATCGCATCTGATGATAATAGAACGAGAAAAGCCAGCGCCTGTTAGATCATGGTGATGCTGTGAGGCCCGAAGCTTTTATCTGGAAACTATGGAAAGTTGTTATTTGGTCACCTCCTTTCCATAGTTCTGGGCCCTTGGAGGCATGGATAGTCATTGGAACATAAGCCCTTTGTGGCAGATGACCAGGAATCAAGTCATTATCCTCGTATGGAATTGAATTATTATAGGTTTTTAAGATCTATATATGAAATACTCCAAGAGTCAGAGGTTGACCCTACAGTTTTAGATGACCCCTTTAATAGATTTGTAGTTCTTGAAAGCTGAGACAAGTATAATAATGAGGATATGATCCTAGGACCAAGTTGAAAGAAGTAGAGTAATTTTTGTTTAAATGAGAATGATTCACTAATGAGTTAAAAAAAGTTAAGTAATCTCGATCCTCTGTGCCAGTAAGAATGCTTTGGGCAACAAGGAACAGAAAACTTGATTAAACTGACTTAAACAAAATAGAGGTTTATTATTATTATTTTTTCGTGTTATGAGAAGTTTAGAGGAATGTGGCTCCTGACTAGTTCACCTGCTCAGTGATGATGCAGTCTCTTTTTGTGTCATCTTGATGGAAAGTAAAAGGGGAAGGGAAAGTACTAGTTGCTGATGTACTCTGCCATGGCTTCGATGCTAAAGGCTGGACCAGGGTTCCATCCGTTGGGTTAACCTCTGCCTTCAGGTGATCTTTTCAGGAGCTGAGTGTTTCCGTGTTTTTATTTCTCAATTGACTGTTACTCAGTACTTAGTCTCGCGCAATAATGTAATACTGCTCTTCTCTTCTTTGTATGATGAAAGTGTGGTTGCCTGCATATTTTCTAACCAAGCAAGACAATTTTTTCTCTCTCCTTTTTTCTTCTACAATGACATGAAGTGAAATCAAACGAGAATATTCCTATTATAACCTTCTGTTTATGAGTATAGATAAAGTAGCTTTTTTTTTTTCTTCTTCTGGTAGGTGGCATGTTTGACTCACGTCGCTGTGAATTATCTTATTGGCCAAGAGGAAGCGCGGCGCTGGGGCACAGCTCACGGAAGTATTGTTCCTTACCAGGTAAGAATACAGCAATATAGGATCAGTCTATTAGAATCTGCAGTTCTGTATGATATGAGTTTGAGAGATGATTCCTTTTTAAAAAAAGACTTTCAGGGTTTTCTGTCATATATCTTTGTTTGACTATAACAAGGTTCTGTTATTCACTTCAAATTCTGTGTTTTGCACATTTCTTCATCAGAAGATTAGTAACAGGACACTTGAATGGATCAAAAGAACTTGCTGAAAGTGAGTGACTTTTAGACTCAGATAACGGTTTGCTTTTATTTTTTTCACCCAAAAGACACACTGATTGTACCCATTTTATAAAGCCTGGTTTGTTCGCCATGTCAATTAAAAACCAAATGTTACCTACCCCAGCTGACAATAATATTCTCACAGGGTTGGAGAAAAATGAAAATTTGCGTGTGACACATCTTCAGTTCTTGAGCAAAGCAGATGGTTCAGGAACTGCTGTTCTTTATTAAGTGTCTAAACTTGTCCTCAGAAATTCTTGACTTACTTTGGCTAGTGTGAATGAATATGTGAAGAAACCATGACTTTTCAAAAATAAAAACAAAAACTCCTCTTCAACCTTTTCAACAGAGGACAATGTTGGAAACCATGGGAATTCATCTCAAATGTTGGAAGTTCAGGCTTCAGTTTTTGATGTGTATGGAGAAAGTATCTGTGAGTCGGAAGGCTTTAGAGTAAAGTTCCAAATCATGTCACATAGGGAGGTATTCGCTATGTTCAAGTATAACATTTATAGTCTATTTTTTGCTTATTTTAAAGAACAGAATGTCTTTAAAAAATCTTTTGTGTAGACCTCAGTATCCCTCCTGGGTGTTTACACCGAGAGCTCTGGCATCTTGGGCGTGCTCTCAATTATTTCACTGTGAGGTGAAAAGAAATTTAGAATCATCGGCTATTTTTATTATAGGTAGAAGATATGGGAGACTTCTGTGTGTGTGTGTGTGTATGTGTGTGTGTTTCTTTGCATTGAAGACAGAAATGTACTTTTCCTTCTGGAATTGCCCCAGTTACGTAAAATGGACACCGTGCTTATTTGATCTAGTTGATTGCAGCTTTATAATCTGTAAGAAATAAAAGAAGATCTACTAGGGACTTTCCTCAAAAGCCCAGAATTAATTTGTTTCCTCTTGATGGAGAACGGGTTCAGCACTGTGATTAAGGAACAAATGCAAATTTAGCTTGAATGAAGCTAGTATACCAAGATGGAGCCTAGATATGTTTGTAGACCCTGGTCTGTTTTCAATTTTTTAAAATAGATTTGGGAAATATTTTTATGGGTGAGTTACAGGGCAGTTATAATTCAGTTTTCTACAATAATTAAAGCGTTGCATCTCATTTGAGTTGTCTGAGTTTTGGGCTGAAAGCCTATGACGGAAGACTCTGATGGTCTCAGGAATTAGTTACGGTGGCCACCTCACTCTCTTCAATTTTTTAAAATTTCATTTTATTTTTATATTTTAATTGAAGTAGAGTTGATTTACAACGTTGTGCCAGTCTCTGCTGTACAGCAAAGTGACTCAGTTTTACACATATAGATGTTCTTTTTCATATTCTTTTCCATTCTGGTTTATCCCAGGAGGTTGGATATAGTTCCCCGTGCTATACAGTAGGACCTTGTTTATCCATTCTAAATGTAATAGTTTGCATCTACGAACCGCAAATTCCCAGTCCATCCCTCTCCCTTCTCAATTTTATTGAACTCTGAAGGATTCTGGGGATCAAGGACCTCAAATGCATGAAATGAAATTTTTTGAAAAGTAGTGCTCCTTGATTTGTGTGTTATTTTGTATACATGCAATTTTTTTTTTTGGCTGCTCTGTGCAGCCTGTGGGATCTTAGTTCCCCAACTGGGATCGAACCTGTGCCCCCTGCAGTGGAAGCACGGAGTTTTAACCACTGGACTGCCAGGGAAGTCCCTGTATACATGCAGTTCTTAACTTCTTGGGTTGATTATCCACTTGGGCCCTTTCCTCCCTGCTCTTTGGCTGCCACCTTTCTGAAAATGAGTGAATTAAACAAAGTATACAGAATTGAGATAAGCATTTTGCTGCTTGAACATCTTAGTGGAGGCTTTTCTGAGAATTCAGATTTTTAAAAGGAGTTTTTGATTTCAGTGCTCCTTTTGTTCCCATTATCAGTGGGTTTTGCCCCTGAGAAGTACCTAGCCCAAGGGATTGATCATTACATAATGCTCATGTTAATATTTTTCATGCATTGGTATTAAGTTCAATGTTTCTCAACCCTTCAAACAATTATATTTGTAAAGACAGGAGTGTTTTAGGGACAGGAGAGGAGAGTGCAGAGAAAGCAGCTGGTCTTCAAAAAGAATATATTTTGTTTATTATGTATATGTGCAGTTATCAGTGTGGCCACCCCTCTTTAGATATATGACTAACATGATACACATCGAGGACCAAAGCAACAGCCTGGCTGCTCATAGCCTCCTATCGCTCTTAATCTTTTCCTATTTCAGTTGGCTTCCCCACACTTATTTCTCTTAAACATGCACATGAATCATTTGGAAACCCCGTTAAGATGCCGATTCTGATTCCAGGTGATGTTGATGCTGCCCGTCACAATGATAAGACTGTAGACCTAGACTTTCTTATTATTGATGACTGCACCATGTCGTTTATATTCCACTGGCAAATCCCAGTGCTGAATGCATTTAATAGTCCATCTATTCCGTGCCTGACTGAAGCAGTGAATATGGCTGGGGAAAAACATAACCACCATGTTATGTTCATGGCTGTCTCTCCCCAGCCTTACTCAGCAATCTTGCCACATTTATCTACATATTTATCCTCTCTCTCTGATACGATTATTTTACATCTTCTCTCTCTTCAAGTCTTCCTCCTCTCTCCTCATCCTTAGGCAAAGACTTTGTCTCATATGACACTAAAAATTGATGCAACCAGAAGAGAACTGCTGCATTTTTTTTCTACCATAACTCTCAAACTTCATTTCCTCCTATCACAGTGAATGAACTGTCCCTTTCCACAGTTTGCCGATTTAAAGGTATTGCTCCTGCACTCGATCTCTTCCATCACCTGTATTATCTGTCATTGGTTAAATATATGATCACGTCCTTCACTTAAAAAAACCCAGCCTTGGACATCGCCCCCCCCCCTACCCTAACCCCCCCACTCTGGGGCATGTCTTATTCCATTTACCATCCCATTTCTTCGTGCTCTTATTTATAGGACAAAACTCTTGAAAGTTTTGGGTGGTGTCTGCTGGAAGGAAACACTGCAACCTCTATTCTGCAGTGCCATTTGTACCTCACAGGTAAAGAGACTTTACAGCACTCTGAAGCCTCAGGAGTTTGAGTGCCGGGGACTATCAGGGGACGCTGACTTTCTGGTCAGTTCATTAATAAGAATACTCTTCTTAAGCTTTTTCTTGAGCCTTTCAAATGTAGGGCCTTCAAAGAGAATTGTTCCTTTAAATGGCCTGATAATTCACATGGTGATTTCTTTCAAACTTTCTCCTCCCCCACCAAGAGCTTCCAATTCAAGAGAGTGAAGAAAACAATTATTCAGATGATTGAATAAAACCATGTCTCCCTTTCTTCGGTTTGGGCTCATTCAACCAAGGAATAGAGCAGGAAACTGTGCTATGTTATTTCTGGTAGGGACCTTATACTGTATATTTAATTTGGCATAAGCAGAGACTGAGACAGGCAGTAAATTCCAAGTTTGAAGAGATACAGCACTTTGCTATCATTCCTTAGAAAAACATCAAAATGCTGTTAAATCATAGCAGATTAGGTAACCTTGGGAATCTTTTTCTTTTAACCCATGTTAAGGATGTTTTAAAAAGCCAAAATGTGAATGATATACATCTGTTTCTTGTGTGACTTTTTCTTTGAACCATAGTAGCAGTAAAGCATTCATTTGCTGAAGTTCGCAAGTACAGTTTAAACAAGCATATGATTACATTGCATATATTTAATTGATGCATTGATAATAAGAGTAATGGTAAACATGCTGGCTTCCATTGAACACATATCATGTGACTGGGATATATATCTACATATATGTATATTTTTCTTTCTCATTTTATATGGATGAAAGGGACATCTAGAGAGGTGAACCAACTCTCCTATGGCTATAGCTAGAAAGCCAAAGGGCCTGGATTGTAACCATGGTTTTAAGTTTTCAAAACTTGTTTCCTTTCTCACTATATCTGAACTAGTGGTTCTTTTGGTGCTTGACACATTGTAGCTACCTGTCTTTTAGTTTCTTTGGCAGATAGAATTCTTCTGATCTGTTTCCATCATCTCTTTGACAAACGACCTATTTATTATGATTTTAGAGGGTCCCAAACCTAATAAGTGACCTGGCTATGGAACTATATTTGAATTCTGAGCTATGCGGCAACTGTAGGTTTCCCTCTACCATGTTTTCATTCATGCTTTCAAATGACTCCTGATAAATAAGCAACAGTTCTTGAGCCCCCTATGGAGTAGGCACTGTTTTAGTTCCAGAAGGCTTCCAAATGAGGAAAAACTAGGCCCTTGATTTCACTGAACTCAGAGCCCATACAGCAAGCACAGCTGAGAGGGTTTGAGCTTTGGCGTCAGACAGACCTGGGCTCATAACTTGGCTTTGCCACTTCATGGCTGCAAAATCTTGGACAAGTCTTTTAATATCCCTAGTGTTAGCTGCTTCCTATGCAAAAAGGTGATGATGATAGTTGTTTCCACGTTCATTGATGGAGTTAAATGAGATAGTGCGTGCTAAGTGTTTTGTGTAGTACCTGACTCTAGTAAGCACGTGGTGGAAGGTGGCTCCTGTTATTATTTCTGTAGTTGAAGTAATAATTGTAACTTTGTAAAACAGTTTCTAGGAAACTATGAAATAGTCCCTATGAAAACTATCCACGGCAGCTTAGGGGCAGAATAAATAAAGAGACATAGCTGATTTTCTTTCTTAATGGAATTTCCACTTTAATTTCTTTCTTTAAAAAAAAAACACAAAAAA